ACAGAGAGCCCCCTGCACCCTCCTGCTGAGCTCAAGCTGGAAAGGTGGGGTGCGTTTCCATTCCAGTCAGCTGGCATCCCGACTTTTCCACCCCCTTTGGCCTCTGAACTTGCACCACTACAGTCTGAGTAAACTTCCCCCTTTTCCTTCCAGCAAGGCTGGGTGTTCCTGCTGTGCAGGGCAGAGCCAGGCTGTGCAAGCCCAGCCTTTGGCTCCCTGGGCAGAGGCTGTGTGTGGACAGCAGGAGAGCAGGAGCACTGGCACAGAAAAGGTCCTGGGAGCTGGATTTCTCCTTGCTTTCCCTGATGGCAGCAGCCTGGGAAGAAGCTCTTACTAGCCAGGCACTGGGGAAATAAAGAGGCTTCAGATCTTGGAGCACCTGGCTGGGAACTGGTGCCCAAGCACCTTGAGCCTCACTTTGTGGCTCAGACGTGTATCATGGGGGTGCAGCCTCAGTACCTGGTGCAGTCTCAGTACCTGGTGCAGCCTCACGCTGCCCTGAATTCTGCAGAAACCTTGGGACCCTTGTGGCCCATATCTGATGTCTCCAACTCCGCTGCTGGTACCTTCAGTAATCCCTCGCCAGCCCAGGCTGAGGATCCCCTGTTTGGACAAGACTCTTGTCCCTGGGGATGGCTGTGGAGCCCTTGGTGTGATGCCCCAGCCTGAGCTGGTGCCAGCCTGTCTCCTTTGCTTGCGCTTGCCCGCCTGCCTGCCTGCAGCTCCTCTGAAGGAGCAGTGGCTCCTCATCCCTGGCAAGCTCTCTAACTCAGACTGGCTTTAGAAGCTGGAAACCCAGTAGCCAGGCAATGTGGGCTCCCCTGTTAGTTGGGTATGATTCAGCGCTGACCTTTGCACACAGTATTGGGCTGGCAGAGCAACGGCATGCCTCCCTCAGGAGGGTGGCAGCTCCTCTCCAGAAAGCCTTTTGCTGCCCGCCACTGCCCATCACCTGCAAGGGATCTCATCAACACCCCTTGAAAGGTGTTCCCTGTCAGGGATGCAATCGGCCTTTGGCTTTCTGAAAATATCTGCCACCTGCTGTCACAAAAAAGCAGCTTCTCAAGGAAATTCACTTGTGACAGAGTAGAAAACAAGCAGCATTTAACAGCCTTAAGGGAAAATGAGAAACTAAGTGACTTGTGCAAACAGTGCTTTGGCAAAATGCTCTCCTTTGTTTTCTTGTTTTCTTTTTTCCCTCTGGCCAAGGCAGGACTGGTGTTTCCTTGAGCTGGACAGGTCTTTTGTAAGCCATGGGCAGAGGGTGCATGGTGTGGGCTGTATCTGGAGGCCCCTTTCAGCTGTGTCTGGGACAGACAGGGGAGCCTGTTTGCACTGGAGGGGTACAGTGGACAAGCTCCCTTCTGGTGCTGAGAAGCCCGATGGGTGACGGCCACCAAGCCATGGCAGGGAGAGTGGCCCTGGAACTACCGATGGAAGGCTGGATCCCACACACGAGGCTGAGGAGCAGCAGGGTGCCTGGGGACCTGAAAGCACCCTGCAAAATAGGTCCTTTGTGCCTGCCCGCTGTGCTGCTGGGCGACACAGCCCGCACAGCTCTGTCTGTTTGCAGTCCGAGGGCTGCCTTTGTGGGGCTGCCAGAGCACCTCCTTACAGAAGGGACCCCCTTGGCCACCCATTCACTGGCTCTATGAGTGAGTGACCTTTCTTCTCCTAATTGGGCCGGGGAGAAGAGGGCTGCCCTCCCCACCCTGCCAGCCGTGCCTCCCACCTTCAGAGCATGGGGATCAGCGACCTGCTGAGCCTGCCTGGCTCTTGGGTGCAGGAGGGAGGCTCCACCTCTGCCCCCCATCAACTGCAGGGTGGTGGGGCCATGGGTCTGGAGGTGGTTGTTTGGAAAAGCTGTGTCCTGCATGCATACATATGGTTTTCTCCTCGGGTCCTGGGGGCTTGGGGAGGGTGGGTTCTTTCATGGGTTCATTTTCTTTGTCAGCTTTCTTTCACACAGCTTTATTTTCCTTCCTTTTGTTGTGGGCGCCTTCCTTTCTCCTCCCCATGCTCAGACCCAGCCCTGCTGCCTCCCTTTCCTGCGGGGTCAACCTGCTGGCACAGACGCTGGCACAGATGCTGGCCTGAGGCTTGGGAGCTGGGACATGGGCCCCTGTGGGGACCAGGACCACTGCTGCACCTAGAACCTCGCTTGGGGCACATGGATTATAGAGGAAGGCAGAAGTCCATGCTTGGGGTCTGGGAGCCCCCATGCTCTGGGGTCCTTGGGACTGGGTTTCAGCATTGGAGTGGAATGAATGGGGAATCCTGTACCCTGCTGCTGTGCTGATCCTCACCTCTGCCTTGCCTGCTTTTTCCCCACACCTGTGCCTAGAATGAAGGTCAGTGCTGTGAGTAGGAGAGCAGAGCAAGAGCAGCCCTCGATGCACTTATTGCCTGCAAATGACTGGTAAATACAGATGATTTCTCAGGCCATCCGTGCTCCTTGCCTGGGAAATTGTAGTTTAGCTGACAGGCTGACCTCCAAGTGCACATTTTTTTGGGCACCATTCACCACATTGTGAAGGGTTACTCCTCTGCAGTGCAGTTCCTGCATGTGATTTATGCCCAGAAGGCAAAAATAATTTGCAGAGACTTTGTCCATCTGTTGAGTTTAGTGAAACATTCAAGAAATACCTACCTCCAGAGCGGAGGAAGAGGTGGGTGTTTTTGGAGTTGTGAGCACAGTAATTGTGTGAAGTGAGCCCACGCTGGGGCAGGAGGTGCCGCAGGCTCTGGTGGGGGCACACTCCCACAGGATGCATGATGAAGCAGGACGTGCAGGAGCCCAAGTTTGGGAGCAGAGGCAAATCTTCCATGCTTTGTGACTGGAGCCCCTTGGTTTGGGTACATGGGAACACAGGCTGGAGGGAAATAGCTGAACAAAGGGGTGTAGATAGGGCAGCATCAAGACATTCCTACTGCTGTTGCTGTTTCCTAGGAGGGCTGTCCAAGGAGGTGCTGCCCAGTCCCAGGAGGTGTCTGGTTTCTGTTCCATCACTTGCTTTTGGGGTGGCCCGGCCCTCTCAAGCTCACGCATGCAATTATGGACATGACTGAGCGTTGCTGCTGTGGCCAGGAGGTTGGCATTGCTTGAATTCATGTGGCTATGGAAGCCATTGGTGGATGGGGCCATCTTCTGCCCAGCTTATAGCTACCACTGCTCACCTTGTCCTTGCAAGTGGCTGCATTCTGTGCTTGCCTGGGGAAGGAAAACAGGGAGAAGTGACTACCCCTCCCCTGGCAGTGATCTCATGCTGTCAGGAATAGCTAGTAGAAGATAGGCATCCTCTGGCTGCAAAAGTCTGTCCTTGTCATTTAAGCTGAGAAGCGTCCATTGCAGTTGAGTGGGAAGCAGTGCTGGGTGGTCCTCTGCAGAAGAGCAGCATGGGGAGGCTTGGCGGGAGAGGTGCTGTGCAGCTGAGACTTTTGCCTGGCAAGGGACGGTGGGGAAAGTTCTCTTCCTTATATACTGCATGGTGACCCTGTGCCCATGGCCTTGGCCCTTCTTGTTGTCTCCTACTTTTTATTGATGGTTTCCAGGCTTTATATAAGAAAAAGGAATTGCTTGATGTCAAAGATGCTTCTCTTAATATGACCTGCACCTCTGAGGAGTGGGAAGGCTCTGTTTAGGGGATGCAACTGAAAACTTACCGAGACCTGTGCTTTTGTAGTCAGGCAGCCAGTGGTTGGGGTCTGCGCAGCTAAAACCATGTTTGCCAGCAGCCTTCGTTGTGGGCTGTAATTCCCAGTTACATAAAGCTGCCCTGCGCTCAGCACGTGATGACCACGCCAGCTGTTTGGTGTTTATTTTTATATCCTCATCTCCTCTCAGCACTGGCTGCTGGGTGCCAGTCGCTGGACTCCTGCCCCATCTCCACCCGGGGCAGAAGCCATGCAGCTGGGGATGGCTGCACCAAGTTGGTGGCCCTGTTGAGTTTGGCATGTGGAGAGTTAGCAAGGAAGGCTCTCTGGGACAGCATGCACACACAAAGCCCAGACATGGTTATGCAGCCACAGGGCTGTGCCATGGATAGAGGTGACAACAGTGTCCCAATGGAGAGGAGCTAGGAGTCAGCAGGGTGAGAAATAATCCCCCTCCATGGTCTTTGCTTCTACAGTGATCCCTAACACATGTTCAGCCATTTAAGCACCCATCTCCACAATAGTGCTTGAAAGCAGTGACCTGGGTTTTCATGCTGTCAGTGAAGGCTGTGGCTGTATTCACAGGAACACATAGCCCTGTTGGGTTTAGTGCCCGTGCTGCTCTGCTGAGAGTTACGTCAGCGCTAGTGTCGAGATAAAGCGTGGGAGCACACGGGGCTAGTAAATAGACTCAAAACGCTTTTCTTCTAACTACACGTTTTTAGTGCTTAGCATTGACTCTTCATTGCTTGTCTGTTTTCTGAACCTTCTTCTGAATCTGCCCTCTTCCATTTTATCTTTAAAAAGGTTTTTGTTCAGCATCTCTCCGTGCTGGGTTGCAGTGGCGCTGCCTTTGGTCCCCTTTGAATAGCAAAACGGCTCCTTTATTCTGGAGGCTTGGCCTGGAGGCTCAGCATTGCTGCAAAGACAAGGGTTTGGAAGGGCTGTAATTAAACACTGAAGGGCCTGTCACAGGACAGGTTGCTCCAGCTATTTTAAGGATATTCCAGTATCCAGTTCTATAGTGGGTGACTCAGTGCAGCTGAGGGTATATTGGCTTATAGCTACATACTTTGATCACAGCTTAGATGAATGAGGTTTGGTGGCCTGATTACTTAAGTTATTTTATTGTTAGAATAAGGGCTGCTGAATTCTTGAAGCATTGTGTTGAGGGAACATCTTCATGGTGGGAGGGCTATGAGGCTTCAGGTGCAGTAGGCAAAATGATGCCTGTTTTGCAGAAGTGACCCTCGGTTTCCTCTGGGGATGCAGTTGAAGCCATAGTGGGACCATGAGGTTTCTGGTGCCATGGAAACTTGACTAATCTGCTCTTTTGTTCTCTTCAGTATATTGGGAGCCTGGATGTGCCACGGCCGAACAGCCGAGTGGAGATTGTGACAGCCATGCGGCGGATCAGGGTGAGTGTGGTGAGGATGTTCCTTCCCCTCTGTGCTGGGGTGGCAGGATCACCGGACCTCCATCTCCACTTACAGCCTTCTCTCACATAAGTCCTGTCCTCCAAGTTATTTGTAACTGTATTTTTCACTGTCCCTCTCTCCATTGAGCTCTCCATGTTACCCAAGCACAATGCCTGCAAACTTCATGTGCCACACCATCACATTTGATCATCTCTGGCACTAGCTGTTCCCTGTGGTACCTGGTATCCTGTGTGCTGTGGCTGGGGTTAGCTACAGTCCAGGTGGTAGCAGGGCTGTATCCATGCTCCCAGTGCTATGTCCCATGCAGGAGCATGTGCTGTGGCAGCAGGGATGAGGTGGAAGGTGAGTGTGGGATGAGGGGCTGTTGGCACTGGACGGAAACTGTAGCATGTCCATGATTCAGAGGATTTTCTCATGTGTCAGTCCCAACTGAAAGGTAACAGCAAACTACTTGTGAAGAGGCACGTTTGTGTTTTACTGCTTGCATAAGCATTTCAGCTGCATGAAAATTTGGGTGCTGCCTCGATACACCAGCATGTTAGTGACCGGTAAATGGCAATGTGCAAATTAAAGTGCTGAGTAACGAGCTCTGGGGCCTGCCAGAAGCAAGCTTGTCTAACACCGAGTAGGTCAAGGGATGTCAGCTGGCAATGAAGTCATCTGGCTTCCCAAAATAATTACAGTCAGGATATGGGGAACTCTCGCCATATAATGCTTGGCCAATAGCCAGGAGAAGAGCTGCTTTTCTGATCCCTGGCCTCTCACCTGCACAACTAGAAGGGGATCAAGGACACTCTGGGAGGCAAACAAGCCACACACTCTGCTGGGAGGCAAACAAGCCACACACTGGGCGAGCTCGCTGCCCCCAGGCTTAAAACAGCAGCAGCTTGACTGCTCTTCACATGAGACAGCTCTTGTGGTTGGACCTTGGCCTGACAACTTTGAGGGCTTAGATGAACCCTAGGGAAAAAAGCCTTCCGACCAAATAAACACCAAAACGTCCTTGTTGACCAATATGAAGAAACTTAAGCATAGTCTAGAAAACTAATAGATAAAACTCTGAATGGCAGAGAAAGGACACAATTTAGGGTAAAATAATGATTTATTATGGTGAATGATGTGCTCAAAATATGTGCTCAGGTGTTCCTGATTTGAGTTGATCTCAGGTGTTGAGAGATGCAAGTCATTGGAAGACCATGCTTTTGCAGATGGGATCTGCCAGGGAGACTTTTATTGTCTGTTTATTTGTTGTGGGGTGCTGTTTGTAAAGAGGATGCCAAGATAGTTTGTGTGATGGGAGTTTATGTGTATAGCCCTTCCCTGGTTTCCCATGTTCTGCATTGGCCTTGCACCCAGCAGCAAGATGTTACTGTGGCACTGCAAGGGCATTTGCTGACTGGGCTGGAGCATGGTGCTGGTTTTGGCGTGGCTGGAGGTCAAGGAATGTGTGTCCTTCTTAAAGCAGAAGAGTAGCTGTGTTCTTTGGGAATAAAGTAGTCCCCAAATATTGGCATGGGGAAACCAGAGGAAGAAAAAGCTTATTTAGGCACAGAAAGCAAGTGATGGGAGTTCATCAAGAACAAGCTGCTGTGGCTCTGTGTGTGGTGTGTGAAGCAGCTGCTGACCCTGAGGTTTTGTATAGTTTTAGTGCAGTTTAGAGGAATGTGCTGTGTCCCAGTTTGTTCAGTCAGTCAGTGTTGGTGAAGGAGGGGGAGATGCCGCTGCAAATCCCCTTTCTCAGTGCTGCCTTCAGCTTGGCCACTCACTGGGCTTTGCCTCTATTTACTAAATGCAAAGACGTGGGGAAGCGCCCTGCCCAACAGTGGGGGTGCCAAGGGAGAGAACATCCTGGAAGCCTCCCGTAACTGCCTGTGCTGAGCTGGGAGCAGGAAGGAATGGGGCAATGAGCAGCAGCTGCCCCCCCGGCAGTCGGGATTGGAGGGTGAGCATCTTGAGCCTGGTTGAGCCTGTCTTCCTCACGGCTTCCTGTTTAGATACAGACCTGACCCTCTGGGGGCAGAGAGGAGGCATAGCCAGCATTGCTGAGATTCCTGTTCGGGGCTGGGATCTGCCGTCCTGCTGCCACTCTCCCATGAGCAAAGCAGAACATCTCCACCAGAGCAAGATGTATATATTAAGTCCAAATCTAGCCCATTTTGTGGATCTGAGTTGCGAGGGACTCTCTACAGGGAGTTGGAGAGCAAGAGCTCAACTGATGCATCTTCCCAGCTATAAATGACAGTGATAACTATATATTTTTTTATATTGTCATGATGTAAATGTACGCAAATGCTTTCCTCTTTGTGTTCCTGGCATGTCTCCAGTGCTGCCAGTGCTACCTAGCTGGGGCTTGGTGCGTTTGTTCTGGAGAATTTGGGATCATCCTTTTTTGATCCTTGTATTGCTGAGTGCAGCTTTAATCTAGATTTTCTTTGGTGCCAGAAAGGATGAAATCCTTTATAGATGCTTCTTAAAAGTGGCTTCTGTGGAAGTCTTCTGCAACGCTGTTTCTGGGAAGGGTCCAGCTGAGTTTTGCAGGCTCAAAACAAGGAGGCATTTCAAGCGCTTTAAAATATAATTCCTCTACACCTCCTACTCTGTCAGGTACATCTGATTCTGCGGGGCTTCTGCTGCTTTGCATAGCTGAGCTCGATCTTAGCAAATTGGCAAAATTCTTGAATTTCAACTAGCTTGTTTTAAAATAAGATTTTGCATCGCCTGCAAGCCACATGCACAGTCGGACTGGTGTGAAAATTGATGCATGTGGCCAGTTATTTGTGTAGAGCGCCTGGTGTCATGTTGAGCTCATTTAATTAAAATATTTCTGAAATACTCCTGTTCCTGCCATGGGGAATTTTTAAAAGCGTTAAGTCATTTACAGTGATGTCTCTTTTTCTTTTTCTTTCATCATGTAAGGAGCAGCGTGGCTGTACCGACATAAAATGGAGCAGGATTTGAAAGCGAGCTGGCCCTGTGTGTGCCTGAGAGCCCTGCCTGGGGACAGCCCTCCCCTGGCTCCTATGGGGGACCTGCATGGTGGGCAGTGAGCTGGCTGGGAGATGCTCAGGGTTTGGCTGCCTGAAGAGCACAGCCTGCTCTTTGCCAAGCCACGGCACTCAGTGCAAGGTGAATTATCTGCTAGCTAATGACTTGACGTGATTTTTTGAGATGAAGAAGATTATGTTGTATTAGATCTGGGAGGTACTGAAGGGATATCTGTAATAATTTCAATTGATCTTTCAGTGCTCTGACAATCGCAGTAAAAAGGGTGAAGGCTTCCGGGCAAGCTCACTATTTCTCCCAGCACCACCAGTGCCACTTAACTTCATAATAAAATAATGACTAGTCTGGTATTGCTAACAATATGCTGCCTACTCGATTGCATGAAATAGGTCAGGATCTCATCCTGTGGTGAGTGTTTAATCAATAAACTCAGATTCACCAGAGCTCCCTTTTGACTAAGACTGCCCATAGGAGAGAGATGGTTTCCAGGAGGGTTGGCCAAAGCATGGTGACCTTGGCTTGGCTGTTTCATTTAATACCATGGCTAGGATGTGACAAGTGCTTTCCAGTGAAGCTTTGAAGGTTACTGGCAGCATTAAGTAGTGTGAGCTGTATGTAAAACTCTGTTGTAATGCACATACAGTAAAATTACAAGTTTAAGGAGGAAAATGTCCCCATGTGGCAGGGGGCAGGCATCTGAACTGGTAAGAATGTGTGAAGTGTGAGCCATTAATGCTGGAAAGCAAGGTCTGAGCCAAAGAGGAAGCAGGGTAGGGATGGGGCTTTGAACACTGCTTGCCAGAGGGACTTTGGGAAGGTGCTTACTGGCAAACATGAGCAAGTACTGCCTGTGCTGCTGTCTGCCAGTCTTGTAGGGTCACACGGTGGCAGGAATGACAGGGCTCAGCCAGACGGGTGACCTGATGGGTTCTGAGAAGATGAGGAATGGGCATGCTCCTTTTCCCCTGTTTGCTGGCCTTGTGGATAAGTCATGATAGACTCACTGCTTTTTGGCTTCCAGCAATGACCTAATTAACAGTGCTCTTCCAGGCTTGGAGCAGCCTGTCGCTTATGGCCAGGTTCCAAGCCATGATGGTGAGGAGAGTTTGGTGGCAGGGGGTCCAGCCTGGGAAAGAGCAGAGATTTCCTAGCTGGATGGTAAGGTTGGTGGTGGAGCCAGCGAGGATGAAGGAAACCATAACCCAGATTGGGGAGCATGCTTTGGGAAGTGCATGCTAGGAAGTGCATGCTGGTGTGTGGTCTTCCCCACACCTCCTTGCCTCTATGAGCACTTCTGCTCTGGGCAAGTGTCCTGTGGGCATGAGAGTGCTCAGGGCTCTGGCAGGAACACATCAGCTGATGCAAAGCATGCCAGTGCAAACAGCAATGCCCTGGTGGGTGATGCTGGCCTGTAGCCACTCAAATGCCTTTGAGAGGGCTGGGAGCCAAGTAGGCACCGAGCCCAGGGCAGAACTGGAGCTGCTGGAAAAAAGCTGGGAGGCAGCAGTGCCTCCGTGTCCCTGTCAGGCATCCTTGCCCTGTGTTTTCTTGGGTTGGCCTTTCCTTGGTTGGTCTTCCTTCCTTCTCTTGGGACCAACAGTGTCCCCCTGTGACTCATCTGGCTTCCTGGCTGGGGGCTTTCCTCACCATTGCTCTCAGTGAGTCATGTTTCCAGCTTGCTGATCATCTGAGCCATTGGCAAATATCTGCTGGGAGCTCAAGGGAGAAGAAGGGGAATAACGTCTGCCAGGCTCCCTGAACGCGGGGTAGAGTGCAGACCTTTGGCATTGCTCCTTCCCAGCCAGTGGGTGCCCTGCCAGCTCCCACCGCTTCTCTAAATTCATGTGTGTGTAAAGTCATCGCACAAATGTCTGTCCCCTTTTGTGCCCTTGTGCTCCCTTCTTTTCCTCCTGCTTCACGCTTGTTCTTCCTTAGAAATGTTTCTTCAAGCAGGCTTTAAGCATTGCACTAGTGTG